TCTCTCTCTCTTCTTCTCTCTCTCTCTCTCTCTCTCTCTCTCTCTCTCTCTCTCTCTCTCTCTGCGTATCTCCGCGTTTACTCGGAGAGCGAGTAACCCGAAAGCGATGGATCTGTCTTGTTTCCTCGCTTTGGTTGCACCTTGGAACATCCCGTGGAGAAGATCGGCTAGTCGCGTAAAAATTTTTCGAGTCGCGGAAAAGAAAGAAATTACTGCAGGGAATTTAGAATTTCCTGTTTTATCTATTTATCGAAAAAAAAAAAAAAAGAAGAAGAGAAAAGAAAAATGCGGTGTCGTCTCATCTAATCTCGAAAGAAAGGACGAGGAGGAGAACGAAATTTGTTATTTACGAGCGGTGTTATATAATTGGATAGGGAAGAGTCGAAGAGAAGGATTCACAATTTCGCGATTCCCACGTGACCGTTTACGGAGATACACGGAGATACCTTTCCCGTCCCGTCTCCATCCCTTTTTTTCCTCCACCTACTGATGATTCTCGGTGTTTCTTTACTTCCCCGTGGATTTTGTCCGACTGGGAGGGCTTTAATGGAAGGCTTGTACGGAATCATTTTTACTCGTTCCTCGGGGAATTGGGAATTTTAGTTAAACGGTACTCTCCAGGAGAGGAGAAGAAAAAGAGAGAGAGAGAAGAGGGGGAGAGGGGATCTTTGTCGTTTAATGTCAAGCTGCGGCCGGATTCGCGTAGAATTTCATCTGGAAAGTTTACGCCCGTATATTCCTCGTGTATACGTATACACGCGCAACTTCTTTTTAATCCTCGCGGCTGGTATCACGTGTGGTTGATTAAATTTCTCTGCCGGCGTCGCCGCCTTCGCAGCGTCTGAGCTCTCTCTCTCTCTCTCTCTCTCCTTCCCTCGGCAAGGAAGGAAGGGGAGCGAGTGGAACGGGTTCAAGGGTGTAGCCTTTCTTAAGGGGTGCGAGGGAGGAAGTTTGCAGGCAATTAGGAAAGTGTCACATACACTCCTTTCCTCCCCCGCAACACGCCAACCCCTATCATACTCTATCACCGGGTTATTAACGCGCGAGCATAAACTTGTTGCCAATTCGCAAAGGATCCGTGACACACGGGAGGAGGGAAACGCGTGCGATCGACCCCTCCCCTTCTCCTTAAAACTACTTCTATCTTCCTTCCCCGCGTTTGTTCGAAATAAGAGAGAAGGGGGGGTATTTTTCCGGAAGATTTTTCGGGACGAAAAACGAAATCTTCCCCCTGCGTTGTAATCCAAAGTCACGGATTATCCCTTTGGAGCGAGAGGAAACGAGGCTTCGATGACGAACGCGACCGCACAACTTAATTAAACTCGTAAATCCGTCGCCGCCACGTCGTTCCACGACGTCCACGACTGTTGTTTCGTATTGCACCGTTTCCACTTATTTCCCTCCCTCCCCCGTCTCGACCGATCGCGCGTTCCTTCCTTCCTTCCTTCCTTTCTTTCGCATTTTCGAGGAAAGAAAAGACGCGGCGATCCTTCGAGGCGAAGAATTTGAGAAATCCGTCGGTGCTCGCTGACCGAAGTTTATCGGGTCGGGTGTCGCGTTTATCGCGTATCCTGGTGGCACGACATCCTTCCAATGTGTCCCGTCCAATCAGGCGCGCACTTGGCGGACGACTCAAGGAAACCCGTGCGGTGACCAAGACCGCGATAATAACCGAGGCGAATCGAGCAGCTCGTTTCGTTTCCACGTATTTCGAATCTGGCCAAGGATCTATCTGGAGGTATGCTTTCCGGAAGATGGCCGGAATCTGCCACGATAACGCGCTCGCGCGAGGATGAAGAACGTTCGATGTTTCGACGCTCTCTCGACTCGATCCTCCTCGATCATTCGATGATTCGAATAATGTGTGCGCGCGTGTGTGGAGAGAGAGAGAGGGAGGGAGGGTGGGAGGAAGGGTCGAAGAGAATCCAGGATGAGACGAACGAGTTTTGGCACACGAGAGGACGACCACTCTTGGGAGGAGGGTGGATTGAATTCGTGCATCCCTTCGTTCGAACGCATCCACGCTTTTCCCACGACGATCCCTGCTGATCGTGCACCCTTCCCCCCCCTCCCCCCCTCCTCAGTGTCGAGCCGAAAAAAATACTCGCTCGTTTCGAGACAAGTTTAAATTTTCTTCCATCCTCGATGCACGAAGAATTTCTCTTTTGTTTGCTCTTTCGTTTTTTCGAGTGAACTGGAAGTTGGAACGGAGCAAAAGTCGATCTCGAGGAATAAAATGGAATGGGTCGGGTGGACGGCCGAAAATCGAGGCGTTCGGCAATCAGGATACTCGTTGGAATCGATTTGCGAGATGATCGAGGGACAATCTCGAGAGCAAATCGATCGAGGTCGGATCCGCCGGCTCGAAACGTCGAAAGAATCGAGAGGCGGACGAGCGAAGCGAGAAAGCGGTTCACG